CACCCCAATAAATAAAAAATATTATATGAAGTTTGGGCTTGGGGGCATGGCAGGCCGTGGGTGTATTCTTTGTGAAGGATTAGGGATGCATCATTTATAAAGGAATTTGGTACATACTTTCAGGTTGTTATGTTTTATTATTTTGTTTCTATTAAATATTGCATGTGAAACTTGAGGCTCAGGAGCATGGGAAGGTCAGGAGCAGAGGCTAGGGACCAGAAACCTCAGGGGCAGTAGCTGTTTCATGTGGGGATCTGGAAAGGGCTGAGGCCAAAGGAAGGACCCAGCCCTAGAGGACTGTGGGTAAAACATCTCCACTGTGCCTCACTGGAGCATGTCTGGTAGTCTTACCTGAGCGAAGTCAGTCTGCAGCTGGAGTAGAGGGAGCTGACACTGGTGTTCTTAAACAAGGGTCTAAGCTGTAGAAGGAGAGAAAGATAGTAAATGGACTTATAGAGAAGGACAGGGACTGGGCTGAGATAAGATGGATAGAGCTGGCATTGGTTGGAGGCTAGAAGAGATGAATGGGGCTTGAAAGAGGTAGGCAAGGCTGCCATCAGTGAGCAATGCTGGAATGAGGTGGGCAGGAGTCTCACCAGGCGCTGAAGAATCTTCTCTATTTTGTTGAACTTTACTGAGCCCAGAGGTTGCATGTCCTTCGTGTAGTTCAGGTTCGTGATGATGAAGTTAAGGGTGAATGTCAGCAGGGCAGGGCCAGTGACTTCAGTGAAATAGAGAGAGAAGATGTCATGTCCCAAGTTACTTCCTGAGCTAGATTTAGGGGTCAGAGGTGGTAGAGTGGGGTGAGAGTCTGATATTCACATGGTGCAAAGCTAAGAATGTCTCATCTCAGAATAGAAAACTTTATTTTGAAAGATATTAATAATAATAATAATAATAATAATAATACCGGCAGTAACAATAGCTGATGTTTGGTAAGAGCTTACTCTATGCTACACTCCGTGCTAAGCACTTTCCATCCAGTATCTCGTGTAATCCTCACACAACCCTTGAAGGTACATCCTGTTACTTACTTTCAACTGACAGAAGATTAACA